GTCAAGTTCCTAATGGCTCCATAATGGATAAAGTTTCCAACTTTATCTATTATGATGGTCCAAACAACCATCATCTAGTCTCTAAGTCTCAAAAGGACCAAAAAAGTATCTTTCTTAACTTAATCCATTAAGTCAAAGTCTCCAACCTTCAGATCTGAATCAATATGATGTTTAGATGGATAAAGTTTCCAACTTTATCCATAACAAGGTAACAAAATTTCAAGATCTAAACTTTATGCACTAAAATGACCAAAAAAGTGGCAAATATGACAAATGACTAGATATATGAAACCAATAAGAAAGCTGGAAGCTTTTTACTCACAATGGTTCAGGAATGATGTAATCTTGTTGGATCTATATTTGAACTCCTCTTCTATACACTTTGCCACCACCTTGCTCTTTAAGATTCAACCTTCCAACGGAGAAATAAGCTCATAAATGATGCCAATGCTCAAAATCAAGAGAGAGGAGGCTAGGGTTTCTCAAGTAATGATCTTAGGTGATAAAGGCTGGTAATGAGAGGGATTCCCATAAGTTAGAGCCCTTAAATAGGGCTCAAAACCAAAGATTTAGGGTTTTGATCTGCCCAGATTACGCTCTGCATAATCGTGAATTACGCCCTACGTAATTCATTAAACCTCGATACGCGCTATGTAACTTTTAGTTACGCCCTGCATAATCCAAAAATCATCAATTTCCACATCAACTTCAAACAACCAAAACTTATTCGTTTCAACTTCGTTTTCAGTGTTCTTTATAAGCACGGAAAGGTATTGAAGAGCCCCACAATCCTATCCAATTACTTTGACTTAAAACATACCGAACTAAAATCCTTAATTCATGAAAGAAGTCTGAAACATCACTTTTCCTATTTTACCCTTTGACTCCAAAACACAAACCAAGAGATTGGATCACATAACCAATATTAGGGTCTAAATCCTATTCTCGTGAAGCCCAAGGCCTTTACTTGATCCTTTTATTGTCCATAATCTTGAAATAAGAAACTTCTTGAAATAGGATATTACAGTATGGTACGACAATGATCACTATGAACGATGTGAAGGAATCTTTGATGTCTAAGGAACTAAAAAGAAAAGTTTCAGTTGGAGAAGAAGTTTCCAGTTACGTTTTGTTCACATGCAGAGGAACAACATCAGATATAGGTAGAGGTAACAAAGGGAAGTCAAGTTCCGAATCCAAAGCCAACATCAAATGTTATAACTGCAAGGAAAGGGGGCAGTTCAAAAGATATTGTCCATAATTGAAGAAAGGGAATAATGGTGTTGGACCAAGCAAGAACAATGTTGTTGTGGTTCAAGGAAATTCTGATGAAAGAGAAGATGGTGAAGTTTTCATAGTATGTACATCTAGTTCTGCTGATGCTTGGATCCTGGAACCTGGAACATCTTATCGTATGACATGTAATCATGGCTGGTTTGACTCCTTCAAAGAGTGGAATGGTACAGTCAAGATGGGTGATGATTGGGTGAGTAACATCAAGGGTAGTGGCACGGTGCAGATCAATATGCACGATGGTATGGTCAGGAAACTAGATTGTTGGTTCGTCCCGGAGCTTCGAAAGAATTTGATTTCTCTTTACACTTTGGCGAAGGATGGATTGAAGTACTCTGGAGAGGGTGACTGGTGAAGGATGGATTGAAGTACTCTGGAGAGGGTGACTGGTTAAGAATCTCCAAGGGTTCTCTTATAGTTATGAAGGGAAGAATGAATTCTCATGGGATTTATATTCTGGATGATTGTACGGTTGGGGGAACGGTGATTGTATCCCAATCCTTGGATCAGTATGATAATGAAAGGAAGTTATGGTATCATAAGTTGGGGCATGTAAGCGACAAGGGGTTGTTTGGTGGAGATGCAACTGGAAAAGCTAAACCTGGTGAAGCTTGTATTCAAGAGATACAACGCAGGGTGGAGTTCAATTCAGTTCAACACTTAAGCAAGGAGAGCCTAGAGTGTGTTCACTCAGATCTATGGGGTCCCACTCCTATGAAGTCTCATAGTGGATGGCAATACTTTATGAGTTTTATCGATGATTACTCACTGAATACCTATGTGTACTTCCTTAAGACAAAGGACTAAGATGAAGTGTTTGAGCGGTTCAAGGAGTGGAAGACAATGCTTGACAAACAGATCAGGAACCATGTCAAGTCACTCAAAACAGAAAATGGGTTGGAGTTCTGCAAGGCTTCGTTTAACAACTTCTACAAAACAAAAGGTATATTGAGTCATCACACTGTACGGCTAACACCGCAACAAAGCGAAGTGAAAAAATAGATGAACCAAATACTGGTGGAGCATGCACCATTGCTTGTTATCTGTAAAACAGATCTCCAACAACTGCAATTGATTGTAAGACTCCTCAAGAGGTGTGGTCTGGGAAACCCTCTAAGAATTTTGGTTTACGAATGTTTGGATGCCCTGCTTACGCTCGTGTGAATGATGGTAAACTGGAGCCGAGGGCAATGAAGTGCATATTTCTAGGATATGCATATGGAGGGAAAGGTCATCGTATGTGGTGTAAAAAAGAAGAAAAAACTCTAAAATTTGTCATTAGCAGAGATGTGACCTTTGAATCTGCTATGTGTAACCAGAGAGGAGGTGGTATAAGTGTTTCAGGGAACGATTAGGATGCTGGCCAGAAGGTGGAGTTTGAAACAGAAACCCCACATAGTTTTCTGATAAATATGGGATAGCAGGGTGGCATGGATCAGTATAAACGTGAGGAATCTGTTGATCAACCCAGGGAAGAAGTGTCTGGTGAAGCTGATGCCTGGAAAGACAACTTGATGAAGCTTCTAGAGAATGAGCTTGTGATGATCGATTTAGGAGCTAAAAACAAGATAACAAGGATGGAGATTCAGAGTGATAGAAGAGCAGGGTGGTTATACATTTCCCACTACATTGAGAAAGTCTTGCGGTCGTTCTATCGTGATCAGTCCAAATGTGTTGGTACTTCTTTGGTGGTTCGAGGCTATCACGGGAAAGCCCATTAGGAAGTGATCAAGTGGATCTTGCGACACTTGAAGAGAACGCTTGATGTTTGTCTGGTGTATGGTGCCAATGCACGACATACAAACTTGGTTAGATTGATATACCCTGACCATGAAAGTGATCTGGAGATAAGAAGATCATTGGCGGTTGGTCTCATTCATATTCTTCTTTTGAAGGTGGAGAAACCTATCATGTTCTATGACAGGTTATGCATTCAAAAGTCTGGTGCAAAGGAGAATCCGGGAGACATGGTGACAAGGTCATTTCCCACGGAGAAGTTCAAGCTTTGCTTAAACTTAGTTGATGTTCGTAGGAGGTAGGTCCCTTCGGGGACGAATGGCAGGAGAGGAGAGGAAGTTCTTGTTCGAGGTGGAGTTCAGAGGATGCTCAAGTCAAGGTGAAGATTGTTAAATGTGACTTGAGCATTTGGAGCATTCACATGGAGTAATGGGGTTCAATGGAGCACTTAGAATTCAATGAATCACTTGGGGTTCATGGAGCATGTGACAAAGGAACAGATCTTTTGAGAAAGGAATGGATCATCAGAAAAAGGATCGGATCAAGTGACAAAGGAACGAATATTCCAAAATGTGGTTTGGAGTGCCTTGGAGCAACTTGGAGTAATACGGTCCAACATGTTGAGCCATGAAGATGTTGAACCAAGTGAAGATGTTGATCCAAGACGATGTTGAGTCAAGGAGATGTTGAGCCAAGAAGAATGTTGCGCCATGGAGGAGATGTTGCGCCATCATGGACCATCTTGGTATATGATGTGTCATCTCAATTCATTTGTTGTGCCATGTTGATTCACGTATGCCTAGAAGATGATCATGCTCAAGAAATACGCCATGTTGTGCTACCATGATGCATGTTGGGCCGCTAGTGTTCATGATGCGCCACCTATTCATCATGATGCTCCATTATGTTTCAAGGTGGTCCATCATGTATGTTGTTGATACACATGTATTGTATGATATGGAAGAATGTTCCAGAAGATGTTGCATGGTGGAATGTGATTGGTTGACACCATTCATGGGCCTATGACCAATGGGTTTGACCCATTAGGGTTTTAGGTTTGATCCCTCAGGTATAAATAAGGATGCTTGCTAAGTCATTTTGTGTCTTTTGTATCATTAGTGAGTAGGACGAATCTTTGTTGAATTATACTTACAACCACTGTTTGAGAGCTCTGAAATAAAGAATACTCTCTTTCTACTCGTGGACGTATGTCACATTGACCGAACCACATAATATTGTCTTCGGTGCTTACAGTTTTGTTTGTTATCCGTTTTACTTCCTAATATAAACTAAAATAGATAAAACTTAGAAGGAGATTGAAAAAGAATAAATAAAAGATAGATTAGTCATTTTAAGTTTGATAGACTCGTAAATATGCAACGAAAACTTCTCAAAAAAACCATATCTCCAATTTTGAAAAGGTTTGTACCGTAATACCAGAAAATGACAAAACCGAAAGGGACATTTTTGCAATTTCGCTTTAAATTTAATGTTAGGGTTTGACTCTTACGAACAAACAACAGTTGGGCTGAATTATATGGACTTCCTGTTATGGGCTTTTCTTAAATATCAATAATCAAATAATTAATATGAAATATGAAATTACTAATATATGACGCTTTTTAGAAAGAAAACACATCAAGAATACCAAATTGTGTTGTTAGCACAAAAAACCGTGTTAGGATATAACATAATATATAATAATTTATTTTTTGATAAACAACATAACCATTATGGAACGAAGAGGATAAAACTTTAACCGATTTTTATAATTATATTCATCTCAGTTATTAAAGTCATCGTAATAAGATAGATAATGTGGGGGAATAATTCACACTCATATCTTGATTGTCAAATTAATTTATGTTCATCATGGTGATTAATCTAGCTAGTATATTAATAGAAAATCTGTCTGTTATGTACATAAGAAACACGAAGTCAATCAACTTTTTCACCAAAAGTTAATTCATGAACTGAAGTAATGAAATTAATTAGATAACTAAGACACATATGTACATGGTTTCTATAACTATTTTATAATGAACTGGTTATTAATTTCTAGCTATATATAACAAATACTAATATTAATTATACAAAAGAAAATGTATTTATAGAAGGATCCTTTTGGTCTCCAAATAATCGTTGCCTAAAATCAGAAACCATCAATGGAAGTCCTTCTCGAAGAGATACACATGGCATCCATCCAAGAAGCTCTTTTGCCCTTGAAATGTCCGGTTTCCTTTTATGAGGATCATCTTCTGTGTTTGGCCTGAATTCTATCTTTTGCATTTAGATCAATGGTTTCTTGCACCACCTTCAACATTTATAAATCATTATTATTAACCTAATTAAATCATATTTAATTTTCAAAGTAAGAAATGTTTTTATTTTTACCTTAGCAAGTTCAAGCATGGTGAATTCGAAAGGGTTGCCGAGATTAAAAGGTCCCACATGCTCCCCTTTCATTAGTCTCATTAAGCCTTCGCCCTATTCATCCATCATATTAATATATATACAGCCAATGTCAGTATATAATATACTGTTTCTTTTTTACTTAATGAACTTAACAGAGATATATTTGTCAGTCTTACCAAGTCGGAAACATATTGGAAACTTCTAGTTTGCTTCCCGTCCCCATAAACCGTCATTGAATAATAATAACAAACAAAAATTATATATTTTTTGGATCCACACTTACAATTACTCCATTTCTGTGTTTAGTCGTATTAAAAGTTGACAATGCACACGATGCATTATAGGGACCCATATTCATTATTCCAACTTTCCCATCCTGACACGTGTCATAGGAAAAGTTACAGTTTGCAACTCCTAAATGTACTAGCTACAAATAGTATTTTTTTTACCAACTTTTAAAATCACTATCATTGAAAAAACTTATATATATATATTTCTATGTTATTAAATATTTTTCAAAGAAAAAAAAAGGAAATAGCTAGTTTACTGGCCTATAGGATTGACATTTGCCCCAATAAGTCTCAACCTGTGGGTGTTCAAGAGGATCACCATAGACTTCACTTGTGCTTGTTAGCAAGAAACGTGCATTGATCCGCTTTGCAAGTCCAAGCATATTTAAAGTTCCCACCACATTTGTCTTGTGATCATCACTATTTTTGTTAAGCATCTCAAATTCAACAAGAGAAGATAACATAAACAAGATTCATGAAATATTAAAGATCTTATGTTAATTCGTGTAAGAATATAAGGATATGATGGTTTTGACAGGGTTGTATTTGTAGTGAACAGGGGAACCAGGGCAAGCCAAATGGTAGATTTGATCAACTTCCAATAAGAGGGGTTCTACAACATCATGGCGAATGAGCTCAAATCTAGGGTTCTTAAGATGATGAAACAAGTTGTCTTTTCTTCCTGTGAAGAAGTTATCAACTACGATTACACTATCACCTCGTGCCATCAGTCGATCCACTAGATGGCTTCCTACAAATCCAACCCCACCTGTAACCAGAACTCTCTGGCTTTTTTCCTTTAACCCCAAAGGGATTTTACCTCCTTCAAACAAAAACAGTAATCGATGAGCTAATCAACAAGTTTTATAACCATAATCGGTGAGAAATCATATCAATTTTAAGACGAATATGAGAAAAATAACTGAAGAATCAGTAAACCTAGAATACAATGTAGAAGAAAGGGGGTTTTAATGTACCAATATTAACGTGATACGAGCCTTTGGCATGAACCTTGAAAGTGATACGACGGGGTATGGGAGTGGAATCGGAGATCTGTTCAGCAACTTTAAGCGATGGAGATGAGGGGATAACGTCGACGTTGAACAACAGAGCAGAAATGGCGATTCCGATCACCAGATACAGGATCCTGTTGAAATTAGTAATAAAAGTCAATCTCATATTTATTGTTAAGTTATTAATAAGAAGGGTAGTTTGTGTTAGAAATATATTGTCTTGGGTTAGAATGAAATTGCAGGTGAAGACACGCGGGTTAAAAGCTTGGATCAGGTTTGTTCGAGTTGGATCCGATTCAAGTGGATATCATATAAAAGAAGAGAGAGAGGAGAGACGGATCATATCTCAAAAATATCTCTCAACTCTCGTCTTCCTGTTCACAGTTCTAGGGTTTTCTCCTGTTTCGTTCTTATAATCTTGATTGTATTTTGATAGTCTATAAGTTTGTTTTTGATCTGTTGGTTAGTGAGTTGTGTCTGAATCGAGTCTAGATTGTAAGATGATCAACTTAGTTTTAGGTTGTGAGTGATATGTTGAGAGAGTAGATTAGGGTTTTGTAGAGAGGTTTCAGTTGTAAGTACGTAAAACCTTCTGTTTCTTTGTCCTCAAATGATATAAGAAATGAAGATGTTGGGAATATTGTCTTGTGTGTTTTTAACATGGTATCAGAGCTTCATGGCTCGTGTTCTATGATCCTGACGCTTTAGAGTGTGTTTGCTCGTCAACGGTTACTTCTGTTCATCGATCTGTGAAAGGTTTGTTTTCGTATCTGTTTAAGTCCTTTCACATTTGAATCCGAATAGATTTAGGGATTATTTGTTGTTTACCCTAGATTTGTTTTTTGTTATATGAGATCCTGGTACTGCGAGTTGGTTGTTTGATTTTGCAGATTGACGTGATCATGTTCTTGCTGTTGCGATTTCTTTGGAATAAGAACTCTAGAAGTAATCGATTAATCCCTCTAATCTGAAATAATCCTCTTGGGTTCGGATTTCATCACCGATAAACTCTTGTAGGAAACGGATTCAGGGAGTCGATTTTTAAATAAACTTGTTTGCCTAGTGCACTGTGAGGGTTTCTTGTTCTCTTCTTTCTCTTCTTTAGCTGTAGATGTGGGAGATCCTGGTTGTCTTGAGTACACCAGTTACTTGTTTATGTTCTTTGATTTGTTTCATTTTTTGTGTGACTCTGTGTTGATTGTCTTGGGCCCCGACATACTGTGGTGACCATCTGGACTTTAAGTCAACACAGGTGTTCCTTTTCTTTGATTTGAAATTGATATTTTTTGTGTATCTTCTGTGATTCACTATGGTTGGTGATACACCAGAAGGAAGTGGTACTCTTGAGGATAGTCTTGTTGATTTTGATGACCCTTTATATGTTCATCCTTCTGATAATGCTATAACTTCTATTATAACAATTAAGTTGACTGGTAATGAAAATTATCGGTTGTGGCGCAGTGCTATGTCTAGAGGCCTTAAGGCTAGGAATAAATTGGGTTTTGTAGATGGGACCATTACTCTTGAAAACACTGAAACTTCTAAATCTTCTAAGTGGGAACGTGTTAATGTTGTTGTGTGTAATTGGATATTAGGGTCAATTTCTGAAACTATATATGCTAGTCATGTTTACTCTGACAAAGCTAAAGATATTTGGGATGAATTATTTGAGACTTATAATAAGGCTGATGGTTCTGTGATTTTTAATATTCATCAACAAATTAACAGCTTAAAACAAAATGGTTCTTCACTTTCAGATTATTATAATAAACTTGATTCCTTATGGAAAGAATTTGATGGTTTAACTAGTTTAACAGAGTGTATCTGTGAGGCTGCTACTAAGCTCAGTGATCATTCTAAATTGATGAAATTAATGCAGTTTCTAAGTGGTCATGATGATGTCTATAATCAAGTTAAAAGTCACATTCTCTTAATGGAGCCACTTCCAAATGTCAAATTTGCCTTCTCTATTCTTTCTAGAGAAGAATCTCTTCAAAAGAATGGTTCTCTGAGCTATGTTATTTCTTCAAAAACACCTGTATCTGGTTTTAATAGTAAGATTAATGATTTTAAAAAGGGACCAGGTCAAAGTAGGTTCAGAAATCAAGGATTACAATGTAAACATTGTAATCTTATAGGACATACAATAGAAAGGTGTTATAAATTGATTGGTTATCCAAAAGACTTTAAACAAAGAAATGAAAATAATAATCAGAACAAATCCTTTTCTGTAAACTCGTCTTCAGTTAGTTCTAATAGTAATAATGTAGGTTCTTCTGAGTCTGTTCATGATAGTAATGCTCACTATCTTACAAGTGAACAATACTCCCAAGTTTCTTCGTCTCATTAGTGAAAGTTCTACTAATGAGGATGTACCTGTTGCTGCAAATATGGCAGGTACATCTTCTTTCACATGTTGTAATTCCTTTGTTAATTCAAATACTCCTCAAAGTTGGATTGTTGATTATGGGGCTAATCAACATATGATATCCTCAAAATCACAACTTCAAGACACTGTGGATGTGTCTAGACTTAATCTTCTTGTAAAAACATCCTAATGGCTCTTCTGCTCCTATAAATAAGATAGGAAATATTCAATTATCCTCTCATCTTACTTTATTTGATGTATTTGTTGTTCCAGACTTTAGTGTTAATCTGTTGTCTGTACATAAACTATGTAAGGATAGTGGGTGTGAGGTTGTATTTTCTGAACATAATTGTAAAATTCAGGATTCACCGTCAAAGGAGATGGTGGAGAATGGTAGAGAATCTGGGGGATTGTATTATCTTGATCATGTTCCCTCAGGTAATTCAACTAGTTTAGCTAATTCTAAATGTTGTGTTTCAAAGTTAACTTGGCATAGTAGGCTTGGTCATCCAGCTGATCATGCTTTAAACATTTTAAAGGATAAACTAAAATTTGGAAATGAATTTCTTCCTCCTTGTGAAGTTTGTCATAGGGCTAAACAAACTAGAGAGTCCTTTTCTCTTAGTCAACATTGTTCAACTCAACTAGGTGAATTGATTCACCTAGATGTTTGGGGGCCTTATAGACTTGCTTCAATTGAGGGGTTTATGTATTTTCTGACTATTGTGGATGATTTTACTAGGGCAACTTGGGTTTTTCTTTTAAAATCTAAAAGTGAAGTTTTTGACTGTTTTAAGTCATTTGTAAATATTCTTTTGAATCAGTTTAATGTTAATATTAAGACTATACGGTCTGATAATGGTACAGAATTTGTGAATAATCAAATGAAATTTTTCTGTTTAGATCATGGTATTATTCATCAGACTTCTTGTGCTTATACTCCTCAACAAAATGGTGTTGTGGAGAGGAAGCACAGACACATTCTTAATGTTGCACGTTCTCTTATGTTTCAATATGGAGTTCCTATTAAGTATTGGGGAGATGCAGTTTTTAACTTCTGTGTTTTTGATAAATAGGATGCCTACATCTGTTTTAAATGGTTTATCTCCCTATGAACTTGTTTTTAAACGAACTCCCAGTTTTGATCATTTGAGAGTTTTTGGGTGTCTCTGTTTTGCTGCTAAACAAAATGTTACTGATAAGTTTTCTAAACGTGCTGAAAAATGTATTTTATGTAATGTCCGTGTTTCTAGGCTAGACATTAATATTGACTTGATAGTCTAGGTTAACCTTTGTGACTCATTTTGGAGAAATGAAAATGAATTATGTGAATATTATGTGTTTTATGTGTTTTATGCTTAATTACTAGGAGTTAAATAATTAAGAATAAAAATGAGCGTCAAAAATAAATATTAGATAAAGTCGATATCTATTTAGAAAGTTGTAGTGGTCGTGACAAGGATTACGGATATATAAAGAATGCCGAAATCCGAGTTATAACGAAGAAGTTATGACCTGTCGAAGTTTCACGACAAAACCGGCACGGTGCTGAATGTCGTAAAAAGTGAGTTTTCGATAAACTACTTTTTAGCCTTAGTGATCTAAACGAAACTCGTAGTATTCGTTAAACCGAGAGTAGGTATAAAAAGAACGCCCAAATCTGACTTCGTATGAGGAAGTTATGATTTTTCGAAGTTTCAGCTTAGCAGTAGGCAGCTAAAAACTCGAATTTTAGATCGAAAGATTTTTAGCCGACACGACCTAAACGGGAATCAAAGGTCTCGTAAATAGTAGCACAACGGTAAAAAGTCTGACGAAACGGACGTCGGATGAAGAAGTTATGAATTTTTAACGGATTTCCTGTCCCGGTCTGTTAAAAATAATAATATAAAAATTAAAGTCAAAATTAGCCGACGAAATCTAAACGAAAGTTGTAGAGCGTAATTTTACCTACGCGTGCATATAAAGAACGTCAAAAACGGAGCTCGTATGCGAAAGTTATGGATTTTAGAAGTTTTTGCACAAAAATCGAGAAAATTCGCATAGTCACGTTTTTGCCACGTCACCTTCGCTTAGAACATGCCACGTGTCCGAAAGTCTGCTGAGTCATCCGAAGCGGTCCAGTGAGAATCCGACGCGTGTCCTCTTCCTCGTGTCCGAAGCCTTCGCATGATGCCACGAACCCACCCTACTTCGGACTAGACCTCGGTCCAATCAGAAGGTGACACCGAGGCCCTCGCATGCGCAGCCACGTGCGAGCCACCTGCGAGACTTCGGATCTGTTGATGCGTGGAGACTTCTCAGCCATTGGATCAGCAGCTTCGGACCCCTATAAATAGAGGGCTTGCGAGCCTTCTCGGATACATTTAGAAAATCACCATCTTTCACCCCTTTCTTCATATTTCTTTCATTCTAACTTCCCCCGAATCCCCAGTATCAATTATAACCCCCCCAGAATACGCCACGAAGTGCCCGAGAAGCCCGGAAAATTTATCTTTTCGGTTTCGAAGCCCGACCCTTCGCAGAGCCCGGTTTCTCAATAAAACTCCCGGTTTTATTAGAAACGATCATTTTAGGAAACGAATTGATGTCCGATTTTCATTCAATCAGGTGAGTGTGTAGTTACTTTCACCTTACACATAGATATGAAGTATTTTATATAAAATACGTGTTGTGTGAATATTTTATTGTTTGTTTATTTGAGTTGGATGTTGAAGGTGTGATTTATACATGTTTTTAAATAATTTAAACTGTATATGTATTTTTATCTACAAAAATGTTGGGTCAAACATGGGTAGATGAAATAATGGGTGTGTGATGAAA